CCAATTTTAAATGTGAATTAAGTTTAAGTTAAGTTACGTTAAGTGTTAAGTTTTTTTTTTCTTTTTCTTTCAGATTTAACAACTTAAGTCTTTGGCAATTTCAACCATGATTAACAAACAACGTGTTAAAGTTATCGTAGACTATTACGAAAATGGACGTTCAAACAGACTGGGAACCTCCCATTAATATCTTCAGTCTCACTCTGTCCGAAGACAGTGACTTAACTGAGTTGAGCTTTGTTCGGAGACAGACACACAATTGAGTTGAACACTGTCCGAAGAGTGAGATGCAACTAAGTTGAGCTCTGTCCGCAAACAGAGACGCATTGAGCTATTTCCGCAGACGGCAACCCAAGAGACCTCAATTTGCTGATCACTGTTCGCAGACGGCAACCCATCTGTGTTGAGCTCTGTCTACAGGCAGAGACACAAATGAGTTGAGCTCTATCCGCGGACAGAGACGCATCTGAAGTTGAGCGCTGTCCGCTGACAAAGACACAGCTGTGTCGAGCTTTGTCCACAGACAGAGACGCAACTGAAGTTGAACTGATTTGAGCTCTGTCCGAAAACAGAGACACAACTGAGAGATGAAATGTAGTTTACACGCCCGAGGGCAGATACTACACTTTGATCCCAGTCTCAAACCTGAGAATGCATGACGACCGCTAGGAACGTAACATTTTTTCAGACGCACAGTATCGAGAGATGGAAACCATTTTAGACAACCGCAAAGAATCCAGTTAGCGTAAATAAATTAACATCGTCAGCAGGATTATTTTAAAATTATTGTTAAGAGAAATGTTCGTAAGATGGGGATTTGGTTAGTTATTATTACTTTTTCACGCTGTTATTTTTCAAAACAACCATAAATGTTTGTGCTTGTTTTCAGAACAAGTGACATCAAGTCTTCTAAGTATTTTTGTTGATTTAAGCATTTCGCTTCTATGATCTTAATTCTTAGCCAGATTTAGCACTGTTCAGAGCTTGCCAATGATGATGCGCAAACAGTTAATCTCACATTCCATATAATAGTAATAATAATTATTATTATTGATGACTATTGCTGTCTATCTCACCATTATTGATAGCGATTCAAGGCTCTGGGGATTCCCTTGTCATAAATGTTGATGACGCCAAGTCTCGCCAAGTCTCGTGAGACGGGCAACTGCGAGACAGGCACTTCGTCTTTGTATCGCTCCCCAGACATGATTCGTTGTCTCACTCGAAGCGGGATATACACACGCGCGCGAGCGCACTCGTTCTAAACAAAACAAAACAAAAAGATCTACAACAAATAAAAAAAGTGAAGTGGGGAAGGAACGATGGACCTTTCACTTTACGAAAATAAAATTGGGGGAAAAAATGGGGTATGATGAACGACATTGTCAGAAATTTTGAAATATGTTAAAGACGAGGGATCTAATTCAATAACACACTTGGGCTCACGTTCGAATCTACTGTCGGGCTGCTTAAAATATTTATACACAATAACTGCCTGTCTATCTCCCTTCGCTTTTTTTTTTTTTTTTTGAAAGGCCCGCAATTGTTTTCTTTTTTATATTGATAAATATTCTATTAGGCGGAGGAGTCATCCTTTAACGGTGTGAAAATTGATCGAGATTCGGTGACAAATATCAGTCTATTTTCTTTATATTTTTAATCGGGGCTTAAGACTTATTTCATTTTTTTTTTCTCCTGAACAAGAATTCAATCATTCTGTTTGTTTCCTATTGAATTAATTTATGTAAAATTTCGTCCAGTGAAGACTTGCTAATCAGATATTATCGTCGATGGATTAAGCATGTTTCATGCCTTCTGTTCATATCTATCTATCTATCTATCTATCTATCTATCTATCTATTGAAACTGTCTATCCATGTTTACCCTCCTTTATCTATCTATCTATCTATCTATTGAAACTGTCTATCCATGCTTACCCTCCTTTATCTATCTATCTATCTATCTATTGAAACTGTCCTTTATCCATCTATCTATCTATCTATCCTTTATCTATCTATCTATCTATCTATCTATCCTATCTATCTATCTATCTATCTATCTATTGAAACTGTCTATCCATGTTTACCCTCCTTTATCTATCTATCTATCTATCTATCTATTGAAACTGTCTATCCATGTTTACCCTCCTTTATCTATCTATATATCTATCTATCTATCTATCTATTGAAACTGTCTATCCATGTTTACCCTCCTTTATCTATCTATCTATCTATCTATCTATCTATCTATCTATCTATCTATCTATCTATCTATTGAAACTGTCTATCCATGTTTACCCTCCTTTATCTATCTATCTATCTATCTATCTATCTATCTATCTATCTATCTATCCGTTTAAACTGTCTATCCATGTTTACTCATGCTCTATCTATCTATCTATCTATCTATCTATCTATCTATCTATCTATCTATCTATTTCCGTCTATTATTCATCTCTATCTATCTATCTATCTATCTATCTATCTATCTATCTATCTATCTATCCGTTTAAACTGTCTTTCCATGTTTACTCTTCTTTATCTATCTATCTATCTATTTCCGTCTATTATTCATCTATCTATCTATCTCTCTATCTATCTATCTATCTATCTATCTATCTATCTATCTCTCTCTCTATCTATCTATCTATTATTCATTTATCTATCTATCTATCTATCTATATATATATATATATATATATATATATATATATATTGAACATTGAGGTCTATATTTCATATCTCTCGCCTGTGGAACTCCCTTCCCTATTCCTATTTCCCTGAGAGCTATAATCTCCAACTATTCAAATGTAATGCCAATCGACATCACCAGTTGCCTTGATCTATCCACTATCCTTCTTCTCATCCTTGCCTCTATCACTCCTATCTGATCTTGCTCCAAATCTTCTGTAACCCCTTGCGTCCTAGTGGCTTCCCGCCTTGCTTGGGGTGAAACACTAAAAAAAAAATACCCAGAGACGATAGTCTGTTTCATGCAAAATGCAATCTTTAGGCCATCCCTGATAGTGAGCCCTTTAACCCATAATTATAGCATACCTTAAAACCATATATATATATATATTGGTTCTGTACCTGGTCGGTTGCATTTTTACAGCTTCAGTCGGTGTATTGTGCTTGACTTGTATTTCTGCACCCATTTGAAACTCCATTTTGAAGTTGTTTTATTATTATTATTATTATTTGATATCCTCTCCGAAGACTCAGATGTTTCGCCCGGGTGATGATGGTCATATCTCGGCTTCTGTCCGCATCTTAAAGGCCCAATACCAATCAGTGCCGCCGCCTTTGCGCTCCCAATCATGCCGGGTATCTTCCAGGGTGTCCTTCAAGGCAGAAAACTTCGCAAGTGTGACAACCACAAAAATCAGGAGCCGTTCATTACGGCTCTTAATATCGAATTGCCCTCCAAGCGCTTGTCAGTCAAGATGGTTGTGTCTCAAATGAGCTTCACTTGCTCGTTTCCCGGCTACATGAGAGTCGTGAATGCTTGTATCACATTTCTGAATGTAGGCGGTGGGGGGAGCTTCGTTATGTTCTAATGGTTGGCAAAGTTGTCTTTCTTTTTTCATTTTTCTCGTTTTCTGTATTCACGCACTTTTCCTCATTTTCTTTCATTCTTACGATTCTTTCTTTCTTTCTTTTTTTCTTTCTTTCTTTCTTTCTGTTTTCACGCACTTTTCCTCGTTTTCTTTCTTTCTTACGATTCTTTCTTTCTTTCTCCTTCTCTTTCTTTCTTTCTTTCTTTCTTTTTTTCTTTTTTATCGTTTTCTCTATACCCACACTTTTTCTTCGTATTCTAAATCAATTACGACCAACTTGTGAGTTTACTCCTCACTTAGTGCTCCATACTTTCAGCCTTGTGTCACATTTAAGCTATGCTTAGTAAATTGATATAGATATGTTTGGTGAGAAACATTGAAATATGTATGGGCTGCAGAAAATCCTAATAAAACCTAATCAAACATTAGTGTTTGCTGGATGTGGTTGGGCCAAGAACTTTTCCCCAATCCTTTGTGCATGGCTGGAACTATATATCCAGAGTGCGGCAAAAGTAAAAGATATTATTTATTCTTAATATCTGATATCCTCTACGAAGACACTTAGATGATTTGTCCGGGTAATTTTGGTCATATCTCGGGTTCCGTCCGCAAATTAGAGATCCAAATCTTTCCTCAAAAGTGCCGCTACCTACGCCCTTCCACTCATGTCAGGTATCCAGCAAGGTGTCCTGCGGGTTTATAGCCACATCACATTGAAACACTGGCTCCTGTACGATCAACGAAGTAAAATCGAGTTGGAAATACCAGTTGTTATAAAGTTCTGTGAGCGGGAGGTGTAATAGATAATGGCTCGAAATTGTTTATCGACGACCGAGTTACAATCATCGCTGGATTCGTTATATTACGCACAAATACCCTTGGGAAAGTTTTGAATCCTCATCTCCCACTCCAGCTATGGGTTAATTAGTAAAACTTGTATCACTAAACTATTATTATCTCCTAAAAATTCTTACAGTCTAAAAATATTTTCTGGCTTTAAATAACCTACAAAGGGTTGATAAGCCGTAAAAAACGAATCAGTCAACAAAGAATCAAGGCGTCCTGCGCTGCAGAATAATTCTGCAAGTAGTACTATTCATATTATTATTTTTTGTTATTGTTAACATATTCAACATTATGGTTAAAAAATAGTGAATTTTAGATAGCGTCTTTTTTTATTTTCGAGACTTAGCAAAACAAATTCATGGATTTGGTCGAGAAAAAAAAGACCCCAGAATGACGTCAAAATTCGCCAAAATTGTTCATCTTTTAATAGTCAATAGTTCTAGATTTGTAATGTATACAAATGTAGGTCGAAAGAAGTAAAGATAGCGAGTGTCACACAACACTGCCCATATACAGTAACTATCACACATAAAAGCAGAACACTAACATTCTAACATCTACCGACTCACCCATAAATTGGAAGACTGCTACACACTTACATACATACGAACAGAATGAGATACATACTTACATATGTACGTACACAAATGCACACAACATAGATAGATAGATAGATAGATAGATAGATAGATAGATAGATATGAATAGACTGAGATAGATCGATCGATCGATAGATAGTATATAGATATAAACAGACTGAGATAGATAGATAGATAGATAGATAGATAGATATGAACAGACTGAGATAGATTGATAGATATGAACAGAGATAGATAGATAGATAGATAGATAGATAGATAGATAGATAGATATGAACAGACTGAGATAGATTGATAGATATGAACAGAGATAGATAGATAGATAGATAGATAGATAGATAGATAGATAGATAGATAGATAGATAGATAGATAGATAGATATGAATAGACTGAGATAGATCGATCGATAGATAGATAGTAGATAGATAGATATAAACAGACTGAGATAGATAGATAGATAGATAGATAGATAGATAGATATCCTTGCGGTATTAATTGTTGTCTTGTGTGTGTGTGTTCGTTTCTTTTTTTTTTTTTTTTCTATTTCCCTCACCAAAGACAATCATTGCAAAGTGCAAGAGGCTGTAAATCTGGCAAGACAGTAAACAAACACCGAGACAGAAAGACGTTATAAAACTCCTGGGAAATTTCGATGTCCGATGACCTTTACACACCTCCCAACCCCAACCAATAACCACAAACTGCTGTACCACCTGCGACTGTCACCTTCAAATGACCCCCCCCATCGCCATCGTTAACGGCAAGATTCTATTGGACAGCCAACCAGTAAATATCGCGTCCCTAAACTGACCAGTGACATTGGTGCTCAGCCCGAACAGATTGATGTGCAAAAATGGCCGAAGGGGAAGTTTCTTTATCTTTCTTGCTCTCCCACTCTTTCTTTCACTCTTTCTTTCTTTTTCTTTCTCTCCATCTCTCTCTCTCTCTCTCTCTTCTCTCTCTTCTCTCTTCTCTCTCTCTTTGTCTCCTCTGCCTACCCCAATCTTCAGCCTCTTTACGTTACGTTCTCTCTCTCTCTCTTTTGTTCTCTCTCTCTCACTTTTGTTCTCTCTCTCTCTCTTTTGTTCTCTCTCTCTTTTGTTCTCTCTCTCTCTTTTGTTCTCTCTCTCTCTTTTGTTCTCTCTCTCTCTTTTGTTCTCTCTCTCTCTCTTTTGTTCTCTCTCTCTTTTGTTCTCTCTCTCTCTTTTGTTCTCTCTCTCTCTCTTTTGTTCTCTCTCTCTCTCTTTTTGTTCTCTCTTTGTTCTCTCTCTCTCTTTTTGTTCTCTCTTTGAAGTTTGCTTTTTTGTTCTCTCTCTCTTTTTGTTCTCTCTTCTCTCACTTTTTGTTTCGTTCTCTCTCTTTTTTTTCTCTCTCTCTCTCTCTTTTTTTCTCTTTTTTTTTGTTCTTTTTCTTTATTTTGAGAGTCCTTTTTCTTCTTTTTTTTCCGAACTGTCTCTCTTTGTGCTTTTTTTTCTCTTTTTTTTTATTTTATCCTTTTCTTTCTTTCTTTCTTTCTTTCATTTCTTTTCTTTCTTTCTTTCTTTCTTTCTTTCGTTTCTTTCTTTCTTTCATTTCTTTCTTTCTGATTCTATCATCCATCTTTTCTCGTTTTCTGTTTCACACACGTTTTCCATGTATCCTTTCTTTCTTTCTTTCTTTCTTTCTTTCTTTTTTTTATTTGTTTGTTTGTTTTCTTTCTTTGTCATTTTTTCATTCATTTTTTTTCTCGTTTTCTGACTCACACACTTTGTATCCATTCTTTTTTCTGTCTTTTTTTTCTTTCTTTCTTTCTTTCTTTCTTTCGATTGTTTTTCTTCTTATTTTTCTTCTTTCTTTCTTTCTTTCTATTTTTCTTACAGGTTCTTTCACGTTCTTTCTTTCATTTTTTCTTTTTTTCAAGCACTTTTTCCATGTATTCTTTCTTTCTTTTTCTTTCTTTCTTTCTGTTCCTTTCGATTCCTTCTCTTTCTTCTTTCCTTCTTTCCTTTCCTTTACTTCTTTCTTTCGATTCTTTCTTTCATTTTTTTTTCGTTTCTTCTTTTCACGAGCTTTTTCCACGTATTCTTTCTTTCTTTCTTTCTTTCTTTCTGCCTATTCTTTTTCTTCCTTCTTTCTTTCTTTCACTTGCTTTCTTCATTTTTTTCTCGTTTTCTGTTTTTTCCTATATTTACCTCTTATTCTTTCTTTCTATTCCTTCTTTCCTACTTTCAATTCATTTTCTTCTTTCTTTCTTTCTTTCTTTTTTCTTTCTTTCTTTTTTCTTTCTTTCTTCCGCTTTGTTTTCCATTTCTTTTTTGCTTATTCCCTACTAAAGACCTTTTCTTTTTTCCTCTTTTTTCTCTTTTTTTCTCTTTTTTTCTCATTGTTTTTTTTTATTGTCACAAAATTATATATCAGCCGTAGCGAAAATCAAATGACTTCCCACTTTCCATACATAATCGACCAAATTTCAGCTTATGTGTCAATTCGTCGGGCGATAAATGAATGAAGAAAAAAGTGAATATGAAATAGCAGTGATTTTTTTTCGACAAAACTTATATTTACACCTACCACCAAAAGATTCAACAGCAACAGAAACATTACGTGTTTCAGCCCACTATATATTAAAAATGCCAAAATGAATATAGGAAAAATATTCATCAACGTCATCGACAAAGTCTTACCAAAATCAAACCAAAAGATTTCAGAAAAAAACTCTGTAAAACAAATCATAAAAAGAGCAAAAAATTGCACCAGTGCACAACAATTACCCATTACCTTCATCTGTAAGTGCAGAACAATATTCAACTACCCATTAAAGGGTAACTACATCGAAAATAATGTATTATACGAAGCTATGTAAAGATCGAAAGAAAACCCGGAAATTAATGTATGTGAGAATAACAGGTTACTGGAAACAGAGAAGCTACTCACTAAAACCATCGCTTAACAACAGAAAGTATTCAAACAGTACACCCAAATCAAAGCATATATGTCAGCTTAAAAACATACACCAAAACACAACACAGAGAATTAGAATAACAGCGCCAGCTTACAACACCTCAGGACTGCATAACCTTGTTTAGAAGAAAATCATAATTACTTTCCAGTACAAGATTTTAAAAAAGATCAGAACTCATAGTCCAATGAAGAGACTGAAATTAATTCCTTCTACGCTACCTACACCTGACAAAAAAGACTAAATAAAATCTCATAATTGAAATCTAATGAACTTTATTTCAAATGAAAAACTTAAAACAAAAACATGTACGAAAGAAAAAATATACAAAGGAAATACGTAAATAAAAATATAAACGAAAAATATTAATATACAAGGGCGTTTTATAATTGTTGAAACAAAACAGCACCTCTCGAATGGGAAGGAACAGTGGTTTTAGCAGGATGGTGCTCCTTCTCACATTGCTTATGTTACTATGGCATGGCTCCGTGAAAAGTTCGAGGAGCGTCTCATTAGATGCAAACCTGAAACCGCAAAATCGACTGACCAGAACACCCTAGATTTCTTCCTTAAAGACAACATCTACCAGGATTATCCTCACACCATTGCTGCATTTAAGGCAACCATCACTGAGAATATTCAAGCGATCATACAAGAGGAATGTGCACACGTAATCAACAACTTTAAATTCAACAGTGTCTTCAACTAAACGGGGGACATCTGGAGCATGTATTCTAGGGCTCCTCTTGACAATTTTCGTTCATTTTTTAGACTAAATGGTGGCAGATCCAGAAATGCTGTCCTTTTATCTTTCAATAAGTGTAACTTCCATTACTCTATCATTTGCGAACCTTGATTTGCGTCAGATCATTTTGTTTCAAAAATTGTGAAACAACCTGTATATATACAGAGAGAGAGAGAGAGGTAAATACATACATACATGCATACATACATGGATAAATAAAGTCTAATGACCACTTTGACATCACAATGGGATCATTGGACTCTGCAGAGTCTTCTGACCTTATAGGTCTTTTTATATTATATAATCTTACAGCATATCACGAAATTAGTATTAATGACATTGGATTGTACAGAAATGATGGTCTTATGGTTATAAAGAATTCTACAAATTTTAAAATTGATAAAATTAGAAAAATTTATAGAGGGAATTTAAATGCCTGAAGTTGAAAATTACTGTAAAGTACTAAATTGATAAAAGTCAACTTCCTTGATATAACACTAGATTTAATGAATAATATATACCTACCTTACAAAAAGTCAAATACTAATCCTTTGTATATACACCCTAAGTCTAATCACCCTCCATCTATAATTAAGCATACATCTTTATCTATCGAAAAGAGAATAATTACAAATTCAGCAAATGAGAAAATATTCTATGAACATATTAATTTCTATAATAAAACTGCAAAGAATAGTGGCTATAAATGCCCAAAACTTAATTAAAAAATGAAAATGGACACCATAGAAAAAACAGAAATAGAAAAATCATTTGGTATACACCCCCTTAGAACCAAATGGTAAAAAGAAAATTAGGACAAAAATTCCTTGCATTAATCGATAAACATTTTCCTAGAGACAGTAAACTTAGTAAAGTGTTTAATAAAAATACCCTAAGATTAAGTTACAGTTGTACTGAAAACTTAGAAATGATTATTAAGAAACATAATGCTGATATCTTAAGTAAACATTTAGAACAAAATCGAAAAAATATAGATCCTGAAATAAAAAGTAATGAAGATAAGGAAAAATTATGTAACTGTAGGAATTTTCAAAACTGTTATCTCAATAATAAATGTTGTATAGAATCATTGGTTTATCAATGCAATAATTCATCTATTGAAGATCCAGACATAATTAAAATCTACATCGAATGAACAAAGCATGAATTCAAAAGACGCTGGAACGAACATAAATTGTTCTTTAAAAAATAATAAATACAAAAATCAAACGTCCCTATCTAAATATTTCTGGCACTTAAAAGAAATCAATAAAACACCAACATTAAAATGGAAATTAATAAGAAGAGCTAGAGCTTGTAGATCATTAAATAACCCATGTCCTTTGTACATACATGAAAAATTATGCATAATTAAGTTTCTAAAAAATAAAAAATTACTTAATCAAAGAAATGAAATAGCTATTTTTGCAAACATTGTCAAATATTTTCCTTAAATAATGAATAATTTTGAAAAAGAGATGAAATATGACGCATACATGTTTTTTAAATACGAATGTAATTCTAAGATATTGATTTGTAAAAAAATAACGTATAGTGTATTAGTTATTAAAAGTAAGGACAGTACTTTAAATTGGTAGGAATAGATTTTAAATATTAAAAATACGACTTACTCATATTCGGACGACCCTTTTAAGAAGTCTTTTTGTATAAAATTATAAATCAAGCAGCCAAATAAAAAAGCCAAAAAATTTTATCATTGAAAAACCCAGACGACACGCGAAAAATGGATGCCATTGTTTGTAAGCAGGCACTTCAACCCCACCTAAACTTAACCTGATTTTAAAAGTAACTTATATTTGATACATAAGTTGCCTAGAGAAATTAAAACCCAGCCAACGCTTATCAAAATGAATAGATTTTCCTGTAACTTTAACAACTTATAATATTAAGATTGTCTGTGCTTATATATTAAGTAAATTTCTTAATAGGTTATTCCAAAAATCACTTGAGAATGGAAAGGAGCTATAGATTTTAAATTGAATTTCATAATTAAATTTAAAATTTCAGTTTCTGTTTTGAAACATGGTAATCTTTGTGTAGCGATGGAACCATATTTCTAAAATAGAAAATAATTATAATATTTTGCTCTACTGCTTTGCATCGAGCACTGTTTTTTAAAAATAAAAATAATTACTCGGAACACCGGATTGTAAATCTTATTGTTCTTTTTCTCATTATTTTTTATATATATATATATATATATATATATATATATATATATATATCAAAATAAGAATTACATAAAAAGGAAAATTTTTTTTTATCGCCATTTCGCTCCTCGAAACTAAAAACGTTTTAGTAATTCAGGGAATTTAACGCGAGGAGCACCATAAAAAATGGGGTACAATTGAGTTTCATTTTTATGTAATTCATTTCTATGCTCTATAATAAATATATTGAGCTCTCTTTTGTAGATCATATCTATATATGTCTACATACACATATTTTGACCCTTCACACAAAACAAACACACACATATATGTAGATAGAGATATATATATATATATATATATATATATATACACACACACATATATATATATATATATATATATATATATATATATATATAAATATATATAAATTTGACAGTATTTTTATGAGTTTGTCTATTTTCTGAGATGAGAGAGCTATGTACAGTATTACATTAGTCGGACTATTGTCCTCATCTTTGTCATATAAAACGAACTGAACCCTTTATTTCAGTGGAGAACTTTCAGAGGGAAAATTAGCAGGAGACTGATAACTGACATCCATCAAACATGGCACGGGAATTAGAACAGTCTACCCCAGCGATCGAAATAAAGGGTTCAGTTCGAAATTCCAACCACCTGAAGAAGGCCGGAGCGTACAACGGCCGAAACGTTGTGACAAATATGGCGACAAAGATGAGGACAATAGTCCGACTAATGTAAATACAGTATTTCTTATTTTTTGACGCGTTTTTTAAGTAGCGGATCTCATAAGCCGAATTTTAAACTTATAGAAATTTTTATCGAAAGACAAGAAACAGTGGTTAGTGATTAATTTACTTGTGATGTGAACCCCCTAATGTAATATTTTAATTAATATTTTTATTTCCTCTTGATAATATATTTTGAAAGTGGTTGTAATTCGTTTAATAATGGTCTTTAGTAATGAACATTTTAATTAAGAATTGTTGATTATCTGGAAAAAAGAGACAATTTTTAAAAATATTATACACACACTTTTGAGCAACACTGTAGTTGTATAATTTTATGGACGGCTAGAAGAGACTTTTCTTTATATTTTTTAGGTGGTTTCTAATATGTTGAAGCATTTTGTATCAGGCATATTCGTGTCTAGGGGATATATATATATATAAATATAAATATATATATATATATATATATGTAGATAGGCTGTTTCATGCATGAAACAGAGAGTGTTGACATCAATGTTCACTTTTATATTTATATTTACATACGCTCTATCTCTGATATAGAGCACTTTATCCCATAAATATAGCACACCTTTAAACTATTTGTTTTCATACATATCTACATATTGTCATCCACAGGCAGACTGTTTCGCTGTATAACAGCTCATCAGTGTCGCTAGACGTCCGGTTGAATTGGCCTCAGTCAAAGATTCTACACCTAAGCAGTTGGCGCACGGGAGGGATGAAGGTGAATTTAAGCGTATTTATTTTTTTATAAACGTACAGTGACTGAGAGAACTCGATTCGTTGTATATATATATATATATATATATATATATATATAGAGAGAGAGAGAGAGAGAGAGAGAGAGAGAGAGAAAGAGAGAGAGAGTTTGAATTGTTATCCGTGTTTTTGTAGTAGGTCAAACCATCCTACTAAAGCAAAAAAAATGGCCAGTGACATGAATCGATCCTGTATCTCATTTTTCATCATGGTTCATATCTGAGGATGACATCTGGAGGCATATCTGGAGGCATACTAATTTCACTATTTAAGAAAATAAAAAACAGGAAAGCAAATCAAACACGTGTATTCACTAAAAATAACGTTTAGAGTAATTTATTAGGATTTGTAATTATTGATCATTATCTGTCCTGCTAATTTACCCATAGCTGGGAGGAGAAGAAGAGGATTCATACATTTTCCCAACGTTTAGCACGTAAGGGAATATCAGTTCAGTTATGTGTTATGCTTGATACACGCTTAGGCGATAATATATCTTCGATACATGACTGACGAGGTGATTTTTTTTCTGCAGTCGGTTGCTATTTCTTTCTGAACTGACCTGTTGCCATCCAAGGCTATAGAATCCGGTAACTGGTCTACCGCAGAAAGAAATGGCAACCTACTGCAGGAAGAAAAAAAATTAGTCAGATACATGATCGCCTAAGCGTGTATCATGCATGGCATAACTTACTGAAATACACTGTAATTACTGAAAAATTATTCTTTTTATTTAAAAATAAAAAAATCTCATATCATTTTGTTTTTTAAAGAAATATTGGGTGATTCCAACCCTTTGCCTGTAGTAAATACATACGAACGCACACAGACACACTAATACACACACACACACACACACACACACACACATATATATATATATATATATATATATATATATATATGAGACAGAATGTTTGCATTCTGACAATGAAACCCGGGTTGAATCTCACCATGGTCGATTTGTTATGTGCCATGCGTGAACATGTTAGGCGATCATGTATCTTTCGATACATGACTAACGATGCAGATTTTTTCGCGCAATAGTTGCCATTTCTTTCCGCGGTTGAAAAGTTGCCATCCAAGGCTATAAAACATGGTCTGTCCTGTTATTTTACCCATAGCTTGGGGGAGAAGAAGAGAATCATACCTTTCCCAAAGGTATTAGCACGTAAGTGAATATAATGGATTCGACTGGAATTCGAACTCGGCTCCCCGATACCTCAATCCGAGCCGCTATCCATTACTCCACCGTTTAAAAAATGGTATCGTAACTTATAGAAATATTAATGTCGGGTTAAAAACATCCATTAAAATATATCACTTCATACGTTATTTTAGTGGATATTCGCATCTGAAGTAGACGCCCCTCTTTTTTTTTATTTTAAAGTATTAGAACGGCGCATCTTTATATAAAAAAATGATCTCTCAGGCAGGGAAAGAACCTTTGTCCGCCTTGTCGACGGAAACCATTTTTGGATTCGGCAAGATTTGACGTTCGGCGACAGACGCGAATATGGCGGCTTTTTAAAAAAAATGCGATTTTCAGGAATATTTTATGTGATTTTTGTTTGTAAAATTTGTACACTTTATATTGCCGTGTATATTTGAAATCTTTTTTTCCAAGCGTGTCGATCGCTTCACCTCTTTAGTTTACACATCAAAAAGGTGCATTCACACCCCAATATAGAACAGAAGTTAACACCCAACATCACGTTGGTGACTCCTTCAGGGAGAAACAAACAATATAATTATAAATTTTTGGTAAGATAGGATAGACATTTTTAAACTTATTTCTCCTGGGGCTATCAAATTAAGACTGAAGAACAGAATATCTCCATATCTCTCTCTCTTTCTCTCTCTCTCTCTTTCTCTCTCTCTCTCTCTGCCTCTCCCCCCCCACATATATATATATAGGGCGCGATAGGTAAATTATCGCCATTTTATATTTTTAATTTCGCGCATGCGCGTTGTTTCTTTTTATTTTGTGACTGCACGGTATGGCAGGGTCAGTTGGGCACCGTCTGTGATAAAAACAGCACCTTGTCGCAATTCACTCCGCCAGAAATTTGAAAAACAGCATGCTGTACTGCTTGGCATTCGCACCGGAAGCTTCAATACCTTTCAAAGTGTTTGGGTATTAAATTGAGGACAGTGTAGAGGATTCGGAAAGAGTTTCATGAGCCTAATGGTGATTACGAAGGTGTTTAAAATGATCACTAGTCGTGGCGAATTTATGCCTCCATTCATCTTCCCACCTTCGTTATATGCCATGAGTCAAAAGCTCGAACATAGCTTTAATTTCAGATATTTTTTCATCTGCAACAGATGTAGCAGGTGATTGATAGTTAGAAATGACAATGGGTAGAATTAATAGGCATAAACTACCCACACTTTTAAATATATATATATATATATGTGTGTGTGTGTGTGTGTGTGTGTGTGTGTGTGTGTGTGTGTGTGTGTGTGTAAAGCAGTCTTCAGGCCCATAAGATGTTGCCGCTATGTGTTGACCTTCTCAATATCCACTTATATATATATATATATATATATATATATATATATATATATATATATATATATATATATTGATCTGTGTGTGCGTGCGTTTGCTGTGTTTATGCGTTTGTGCATACATAGATAGAGAGACAGACAGAGACATCTGAAAACGATTATATAGATAGATAGATAGATAGATACATAGATACATAGATAGATAGATAGATAGATAGATCTGAAAAGCATTAGATAGATAGATCAATAATAGATAGGTATTAAAAGAAATGTCCGTATATGCCGTACTGAAAATAAAAATAAACTCCTACGCATATTTCTTTTTATATATATATATATATATATATATATATATATATATATATATATATATTGATGCTGAAATTTATCGCTTTAGCGCTTTGCCGTCTATTTTCTAACAGAAAACGTTGTCCTTCTTCAATGACACCGCTTTTTTTAGCTTCAAAACAACACCTACCTGGCGCCTACCTTTGCACTACGTCAACTAAGCTCGTCACTCTGACCGATATTCACGCTGTCGGAAGATACTTTCTCAGGTTCTACTGTCGCCTCGATTTTTATTTTATGTATATATATATATGTATATATATATATATATATATATATATATGCGTGTGTGTATGTGTCTGTCTGTCTGTCTGTGTGAGTGTGTTTGTGCGTGTGTGTGTGTGTGTGTGGGTGTATGTATGTGTGTGTATGTGTGCATGTGAGTGTGAAGTGTGAAGGTGACTGGTGTGTGTATGTGCGTCCCCACATATATAGATATATACTCTCTCTCTCTCTCTCTCTCTCTCTCTCTCTCTCTCTACATATATGTGTGTGTGTCTGTGTGTTTATGTGAAGGGTGTGGTTGGCATATGTGTGTGTGTATGTGTATGCCCACACATATATATATATATATATATATATATATATATATATATTTTTTTTTCTTTCGTCTCTCTCCTCTCTCTCTTTTTCTCTTTTTTATATATATATATATATATATATATATATATATATATATATATACACACACATATATATATATATATATATATATATATATATATATATATATATATATAAAAGGGAGAGAGAGAGAGATTAGGAAAAATATGAGAAAGTAGAAAAGTTTTCAAATACTTTCAAACTTTATCGGACTAAAGTGATGTTTTACGTTGATGCAACTGCACATGCGCACAAAGGAAAAGGAAAATTGAGAATTTCAATGTTTTTTTTTAAAATATATGTTTGGTTTTATTTACTAACTAATCTCATTTATTTTCTTTTTGTGTTTGTTTCCATCACTTTTGTTATTAATTATCCCCCATTGTGATAAAATCTGCCAAAAAATGTAAAATGTTGTAAGAAACTGGACGTCAATTTACTGTAGATGATCTAACGATAAAAGCATTTTCTATACATTTTCGTCGTAGTAAATTGCTTTCAATTTTAATTAGTGTATCTAAATTATAGTCATTAGTGTCTCATTACGGTAGGCAACTAATGCATTTAGTGTTATTTTGCAAAAGATCCCTTTTATGTTCATATAATATTGTAGGGATACAACAGGCGATTATCACTCTTAACTGGTCATAACTCACGTGGGTCACGTAACGGCTGCTTATTGGCGTCATTCGATACAGTGACCATAGCGGCAGTCAAATACTGTTCGTTTTACAGCAACCACCACAGGGCTACAGGGACCCAAGCTGAGGCTAAATCTGCGTCCCCCAGCAGCTTACACGTCCGCGGTACCGTTTCCCTTTGGGAATATATATTTTCCATATATAAAATGAAACTCCAGCTCAGAAAAAATAAACAAGACTCACATTTCCCGTTCGTGGAATATGTTCTCGCCTGACACATAAATGAATTTGACCCTTCTTAATCTGGAGTCCTAAACATGGCTTCTCCAGATACAGGAGTATCTCTATATTATATGTAAGACCCTTCACTTTTTGTCTCAACTTTCACAGAAATTAAGACAAAAATCTGAATTAGTTTTTCTAGTTTTATGAGAAGTGTTATTGTGTTGCCACAACAAAAATATTAAGCTATGCCTCTTCTTTCTGTGTGGGGCTTAGAACTTTTAAAAGACCCTCTTAAATTGAAAAGTTTTTTTTTTTTCATCGTGAATATCACCGTGGCCAATGGCGCCCTGGTTGTTGGGTATTCAGTGGTATCGAGAGTGTTTCGGGAACATTTTTCCTAGTTGACTTGCCGGATCGGTGAGCAGAGACACAGAAAGAGGCGATTGTGGGGTATATTCAGCCTGGAGGCTATAGTGTTTCAAATATTTGGGCTGCTTATACTGGAATCGAGGAAATCAAGCACGGGATAGATTCTCATGACGTCGTTATTCATCAGTAGCATTTTATGGACACTGATGAAGGCACCGTCCATACTCGAAACGTGGAAAATCTTTGAATGAGCGTCAAGCTTAAACGACGCTTTTTTTTTCGTGTTTTTTCTTTTATAATGTCTTTGTATTTCTTCTTTTGACCTCTTTTCTGATTTCCTTCTTGTCATATCGGAAGAAAATGAGTAACTACCGACACCAAGGTTCGATCGTGACACTCTGAACATATATGTTTTCCACCAGGTGTATAAATAGCGGTGTCAGGCTACTGACTGGAGTGATTATTGAGTGATTATTGAATGGAACTATCCAGTCGAATTAGTGTGAATTATTGTGTGTCAATGATTTGGGTTTTGATTTAGGATTTACCGAACGTTAAGCCGAGCCGTGCGACTAACAAGGTATTCATTGAAATGGTTAATTATCTTTGGTTGACATTTACTTCTTTGTTCTTGTTAAATATTTATTTGTGGTTGTAATTAAATACTGTTTTATCTTAACATTGAAGTCTTGAGTTACACTTAATCATGTAAGGCCACCATACGCCACAAAAATGAAAAAGAGCCTTTAGAATTATTGAAAATTATAAACGATCTTAAAAGTGACGCCCGTTAGCATCAAGACGGGCTTGAATCCTTCTTAATGTCATATGGAAAGAAAATGAGTCACTACTGACGCTGAGGTTTGAACGTGACACTATAGGCTTATGAATATCTGTTTTCCGCCAAGTGTATATATATAGTGATGTCAGGCTACTGACTGGAGTGACTATTGAGTGGAACTATCCAGTTGAATTAGTGTGAATTATTGTACGTCGATGATTTGTGTTTTGATTTAGGATTTACCGGACGTTAAGCCGAGTCACGCTACTAACAAGGTATTTATTTACTAAAATGGGTAATTATCTTTGGTTGACTTTTACTTCTTTGTTCTTGTTAAGTATTTATTTGCGGTTGTAATTAAATACAGTTTTATCTTAACATTGAAGTTTTAAGTTATACGTAATTATTAACGACCATCGCACGTCACAAAAATTTGGCGCTCTGGCGGGGTTCGGGAAAGTGTTTCTTAGCTGAGGTGCCGGATAGGTGAGCAGAGTGTCAGAAAGAAGCGATTGTGCGGTATATTCTGCCTGGGAGCCATATTGTTTCAAATCATTGGGCTGCTTACGATGGAATCGAGGAAATTGAGCACGGGGCAGATTGCCATGACGTCGTTATTCATCAGCAGCATTTTGTGGCTCCTGATGCTGACACCATCCATACTCGAAACGTGGAAAATCTTTGGATGAGCATCAAGCATAAATAGCGCCAACAGTTTGGTACTTCGAAGGCGTTGTTCCCATAACATATTTACGAATTTGTGTACATACGTTTATAACCTTGAAAATTTAAAAAAAAACCCTCATAGGATATTAGATCTCACATAGCAGTTTGATGTTCCCTTCTATGTTTCTAGCAACATTTTTCCTGTTTTGACTTAGCTTCCCTGTACTTGGCTTTGTTTTTAAAAGGCACCTTTCGCTATAGGAATTGACTTTAGGAAAAACACCACTGAAGCCAAGAGCTATCATATATTGAGCGTGGTTTGGAAAAGTGTTTCATAGTTGAGGTGCCGGATCGGCGAGCAGAGACTCGGAAAGAGGCGATTGTGCCGTATATTCAACCTGGGAGCCATATTGTTTCTGACGGCTGGGCTGCTTATGCTGGAATCGAGGAAATCAAGCTCAGGATAGATTCTCATGCCACCATAACAATATAATTCCTCACACATCCTTAGAAGATAAGGAGACAATTTCTTTTCTTTTAAGTCCACTTAGTTATCTGAGTTTTGTAGAAATTTTGTCTCCAGTCCATCTTTGAGTGAACTTAAGTGTCAGTGTTTCAGGATTCATGTCTAAAGTTCACCTTTGAATTGGCAAACATAAAATTTTATAAAAGATTTTAGATAGTCATAAAAGTAGTCCTTTGAAAATTTGACCACACATGTGGCTTTGTGGTGGTCCCAGATCTTCCTGAAAGACAACTGGATGGAGGAGTAGGACTCCAGGATTATCCATATAAACAGAGTGAGACAGGAAGTCGGAGAAAAGTGGGTCCAGCCGCGAGAGAAATAGGTAGGTGATTAGAGCAATCAGAGCTGTCCAACGGCCAGTGACAGAGGGACTGGTAGTGAGGAATCAGGAGTCGCCGAGCCCAGAGGCCAATGAAGTTAGAAAGATAGCAACCAGGTATTGAACTCACACTCCTCAAGGACACATGGCACAGTGGTTAAAGGCGTTAGTTAGATCCAGTGACAGGACTCAAAGAGTGTGAGTTCAATACGTGGTTAAGGCAGTGGAGAACTTGGAGAGGGGAATTAACAGGAGATAACTGATAACTGACATCCATTAAACATGGCACGTGGAACTAGAATAGTCTACCTCAGTGAGAGAAATAAAGGGTTCAGTTCGACATTACAAACATCTGAAGAAGGCCGGAGCGTACAACGGCCGAAACGTTGTAATAAATATGGCGACAAGGTGAGGACAATTGTCCGAATAATGTAAATAATGTACATAATATCTCATCTCAGAAATATAGACAGATACTGTATTGTTGCTACTTTCCCAATCGGAAGGTCTTGAAAAGCAAATGTCTTCATTTTTATTTATTATTTTAACCTGTGCACATACCGAGTTGGGTGTATATGCAAATACACTCAATCTTGGAGAACGTCGTCATAATTTCGCCACGAATGGCGTCACAATCTGGTGCCGGACCCGGATGTAGACCCTTTGCCGCCACAGAAATAGAAAAAAAGGAATCAAGGAAACACAACGTGGAAGTGGAGAAGAAAAAGTGAACCGTTGACAATAAAAGGAAGGAAGAAGGAAAAACAACGTGGACATAAGAAAAAAAAATGGTGACTGCTGAAAAGGAAAGAAAAAAGAAGAGATACAAATGGAAATAAGGAAGAAAAACTTGAAAAAATGCGGAACTTTGAAACTAAAAAAAAATAGATCGTTGCAAAAAAAAAGCAAGAGAAAAAAAGGAGATTGAATCTTTTTTATTTTATTTTATTTTGTTTTTTGGTCGCACACGTCAAGGAGAGAAAGCAGAAGAATATAGCAAAAGAAAACAAAACCATTAACAGAAGTAAGAGTGTTTTTAATCTCACCCTGCCTCTCACTAAATCCTGCTGACCGTTTTTTTATATATAAATTTTTTCTCTCCTCATATTGGTCACCGCCATTTTTTTTTCTTTCATTCTATTTTATTTTCTTAGTGGTATTTTTCTGTTAGCAATAGTAATATTTTTATTGTTTATTTTGTTTTAGATATAACGATGAATAGAATAGATATAGATGTTACCCCTCGCCCTGTTTCTAGAATGGTTGCCAGTGGTTCAAAAATTCCTATATTTTTGGGAAAGCATTCAGAATTTTCATTGCTGAAAAATGGCGTCACACTGCGATACAAGAACAGTCCCCTATTTTCAGCATTGATCTGCTGTGACGTTCGCCATTACCTGTTGTAATAATCTTTAATTGTGATACACATATATACCTTGGTCTTATTAAATTTACGCCCTTCAGTGAATAGCGACTCATTGTACGCATCTTAAGTGGTGGATTACATATTTCGCTGTATCTAAGTTCTAAGCTGTGTTGTATTGATGGTCGTTCACTGCTGGAGTGTTTTTGAAATTAGCCAGTCTCCATTATGAAACTTCTTGTAGGTAACGCAATCACGGAAATAATTGTAATTGTAAAAGACGTCTTAAGATAATCGAAGTTTCAGTTTTGATAACGGGAGTAACGTATTGTCTGTCTCATATATATATATATATAGCCGGCCACTCGTATTTGAGGATACCTGTCTATTGCTTAGGCGTATTTGTGGATTATATTACAACTATGCTGATCAAAGTTACAGTTTCTGGGAGATGGCGTGTCATCTAGCGTGATCAACAATTTGAACAAGGCCAGCACACTCAGAAAACACGGCCACGGCACCCAATTTCAATCACAAGGCTTGGGTCAACCCTTTGGAATCGGCCAGGAAATCTCGTTCCTGACAAATCGACCATGGTGAGATTCGAACCCGGGTTTCATTGTCAGAATGCGAACATTCTGTCTCATATATATATATATACATATATACATATATATATATGTGTGTGTGTGTGTGCGTTCGTATGTATTTACTACAGGCAAAGGATTGGAATCACCCAATATTTCTTTAAAAAACAAAATGATATGAGATATTTTTTTTTATTTTTTAAATAAAAGAATAATTTTTCAGTAATTACAGTGTATTTCAGTAAGTTATGCCATGCATGATACACGCTTAGGCGATCATGTATCTTTCGATACATGACTGACGAGGCAGATTTTTTTCTTCCTGCAGTAGGTTGCCATTTCTTTCTGCGGTAGACCAGTTACCGGATTCTATAGCCTTGGATGGCAACAGGTCTAACGCAGAAAGAAATAGCAACCGACTGCAGAAAGAAAAAATCTACCTCGTCAGTCATGTATCGAAAGATATATTATCGCCTAAGCGTGTATCAAGCATAGCACATAACTGAACTGATATTTACTTACGTGCTAATACCCAACGGAAAGTTATGAATCCTCTTCTCTCCTCAGCTATGGGTAAATAGCAGGACAGACCGGATTCTATAGCCTTGGAATGCAACTTGTCTACCGCAGAAAGAAATGGCAACCTACTTCGGGAAAAATCTGCCTCGTCAGTCATGTATCGAAAGATACATGATCGCCTAAGCGTGTATCACGCATGACCCATAACTGACTGAATTCGATGCGAAAGAGATCAGGAGATTGAAGCGGCCAAGACAAAATTTCAATAAATGTGTTCTTTTTTTGACATGAGGTAATTTTGGCATAATTTAGAAAAATCTTTTTGGATCCTTGTCGTGTAGAATTTTGAACCAGATTGCATCGAATGTCTTTGCAAAATCGAACGATATTCTTTTTTTGCGATTTCCACGAACTAAAGCAAATTTCCAGCCATTTTGGTCATCTCAAAATGTCTACTGAGGAAAACAAAATATAATATAATGTTTCTCATACAAAATATTCTTAATTTAGCAAAATGTATTGTGGTCAGACGAATGCAAATTTGAATTTTTTAGTAATAAGTGGAGCCTTGAGGAAGACTGAGATACAAAAGCAAATATACCGTAGTTACTGAAATGTTATCTTTTGCTTTAGAAATTACAAAAATATCTCATTTTAAGGTGTCTTTTACAGAAATACAGGGCCGAAAATTTTATAATATATATAGTAACTCATCGAGTCTAGAAGAATCCTCAACAGATTGCAGAAAGCGCTGAACGGGCGTTTGGTCCTATTTTGGGACTCATCAGCAGTGTGCATCCATTACCAAGAATCGAACCCGGACTGTTACGATACGACGCAAGCGACCAACGGGCGACGGTGACGAAGAAGTAACTATCTAGATTGGATATAGCGTTGCTCTAACATTCCATGGTGTAATTCATTCAAGTATATTTCCCATATGATTGTGTCCCCACCCAGCACGAACTACATCTTCTTTCCTCAAGCCGCCCCCTCCAGAGTATTAGAAGCTGGTTCAAGCAAGGTTATACAAACGATAGAAATTGTTCATCGAGTCTAGAAGAATCCTCAACAGAATGCAGAAAGCACTGGTCGGGCGTTTCGTCCTATTTTGGGACTCATCAGCAGTGCGCATTTCGCTACCAAGAATCGAACCCGGACTGTTACGATATGACGCAAGCATCATACTACTTGACCAACAGACCTCGGTAACGAAAATGAAACTGACTGGCCCGATATAGCGCCGCTACTCACTAAGTTCCGTGGTAAAACTCATCCAATTACTCGAGCCCAACGGCTGGTGCCCTAAGGGCCACACTTCTCTCCCCAAACCGCTACTTCAAGCAAAGATGTACAAGTGATAGAGATTTGGGTGGATCAGAATAATCTGTAATAGTAATACATCGACTCTAAAAGAATCGTCAATAGAATGTAGAAAGCACTGGCCGGCCGTTTCGTCCCTTATATATATATATATATATATATATATATATATATATATATATGTATATAATTAATGAAAAAACAGACCACTTTAAGGTACCATTACAATAATTTATTTCACTAAAATCCTTTTTGAAGGACTCCGGATCATCAGGTAACACTTCCAACAATGAAATGAAAGGAAAAATGGGATTAGAAATTGACGGGTAGTGTAATTTTTGTAATTTAACAGGGAGGGTGATAGTTGTAGTTAAGGAGACAAGGTATAGTATAGAGAGGGGTAAATTTCATATTTCTCTTAAGCATGTTTTATATTGGGGTAGGAGGAGTGACCTAATCGTGACCTATTTAGATGGTTAACTTAACGGAAATGATATATAGGAATAGGAGGGTAGTGGGGGGAAAAGAAATGGAAAAATGGAAAGGAGATAGACAACAGTAATACAAATATATCTAAATGACTGTTACGGCAAAGAGAGAGGGGAAGAGGGAAGTGGATCGAAAAGGCTGTAATTTTGTTTTAACAATGTAAAATATTGATTTCAATGCTTGATAGAAATTTAGATGTCTAAAAAATGATGAATGTTATCAATTCAAACATTTAGTTTTTTAAGTAAATAGTTTAGAGACTTAATATAAGTTAACTACTCTCTCTCTCTCTCTCTCTCTCTATATATATATATATATATATATATATATATATATATATATATTATATAAATATAGTTTTAAAGTATGCTGTATTTATGTTTATGGGTAAAAGTGCACAATATCAGGAACAGGTCATGTGCAAATGTTTATATAAGAGTGGACATCAGTTTAATGTGTGAACGCATTCTTCAGGCCATGTCTCTATACTAAAAAAAAAAGTACCTAAATAAAAGAGGCCCACAAAAAATTTTGCACACATTTAATAACCTTTTAACATACATATGCGGGTGCGTGGCCGCGTGTTCGGAACGTTCGCTTCTCGGCCATGAGACTCGAGTTTGAATTTCGCCATGCTTGTCAGAAAGGTGCCTGCTTAATGTTATTGGAGAGGCGGTCCAAGTGCACGACACCGCGGCAGGAATAACCTATACCACGGATTGACCCAAGCCTTTTGGGAAACCGTCAATGGTTATGCTAGCACGAATTCGTAAGTCATCGTGACCGACGTTGTTATGGTCTTGTTCACACTATTGATCATGCCAGATTATGAGCTCACTCACAGAAACTGTAAGGTCTGTTCAGTACAGTTGCAGTATTACACCGCACGTGATCACTGCCGGTGGAGAACAAACACAAATGTGCCTGAGCAGACATCTGCAACAAGGATTGACCAACGAGTGATTTCAGAAACGAGTGGCCGACGATTATTATTATTATTGTAGAAGAAAAGATGATCGCCTTAATGGATGTAGGGATATTTATTTTTAAAGCCTTGATACGGCGGTGGATGAATATAATAAGACTGTGTAGCGGCAATCTTTCAATAAGGGACAGTTTGCATTATTTTTGTTGTTGTTGTTCAATGCCGTCCACAGACGATGTACGCAGTTACTTCAGTCTGAAATTAGACAAGTAATCCGCAAGGAATATGGATTGAAACGCTAAAGTATATATATCGGTTTAGTTTTAACTATGATTTCGGAATAAGATCTTTGAATCTGTCCTTCTTTAAACGAGTTTGGGATTAAACTTCGCTTCTTTCCAGTATGACATTTTCCTATTTTTAAGCATTATTTCGGCGGTAGGGGTGGGGAGCGCAGCGGATATTTGTGATGGAGTTATTGCTTATCCCACAACTTATCAATGTATGTATCTCTTTCTCTCACATCACTCGCTATTTTCAGACTCTCTCTTCATTCCATTTTTAATCCCTCTACTTTTCCGTCTCTTTTCACTCTTTGTATTACCTCTCACCCTCTTTATATATATATATATATATATATATA